TGTTAGTTAAATTATGTTATTAGCTGTTAGATACACATCATGTAATAGACTAGAAGAATCATCTTAAAACAGTGTACTAGATGGGGGCCCGGTTGTTATGAAGTTAGTTAGATTTATAACCAATTGTATAAATACTTGTACTCGGTTCATTGTTGAGATTAATCTGAAATAGTATTATCTCTTATCTTCTTCTTCTTCTATTATGGTATCAGAGCACATGCTCTAGATCGATCCAATAATGGTGTCATCTAACTCAGATTCTGTTACCTCCACAAATTCTTCTTCCATCGTTACTTTCGCACATCAACTTCTGATCAAGCTTGATGCTAATAATTTCATTTTTTGGAAGCATCATGTTGAATCAATCGTTCGTGCACACAAACTCCTTCGGTTCATCATCAAACCAGAAATTCCGAAGCAATTTGTCTCCAGTGCTGATGAAGAAGCTGGAAACGTGAATGAATTGTATATTACCTGGGAACAACAAGACCAAATGCTCTTCTCGTGGTTGCTCGCATCCTTGTCTGAATCGCTTCATGCACGGGTGATCCATTGCAGACATTCATATGAGCTCTGGAATGAGATCAACACGTTCTTCAGAGAAAGTATTGTTGTGAAGGCCAGACAGTTGAAATCAGAACTTATACTACTGCGAAAGGTGATCGTACTATTTCTGAGTACCTTCTTCGGATCCAAACCATTGCTGATAATCTCCTCTCTATTGGCGAACCGATAACCACAAAGGAACACATTAATGTGATTTTAGAAGGTTTACCTGAGGAATATGAATCCCTAGCATCATCTATTTCCTCTCGTAGCATTCTTGACCCTCCTACTTTGTCGAAAGTCGAATCTCTTTTGTCTGCCAAAGAGGTGCGATTGCAGAAACTTCGTGAATCGTCTCAGACGAATCTATTGTCTGCTAATGTAGCTCGTCTGGAGGTTACGTCCACAACTAATCAATCTTCCAGTGAAAATACTCCAGACAATGCTTCGATTCAACTTGCTCAGTTTAACAACAATGACAACCCTAACCCTTATCGAGGAAGAGGTCATGGAGGTTTCAACCGAGGTAGAGGAGGAAGATTTGGAGGTCGCTATTCAGTCACATGTCAAGTTTGTGGAAAACCAGGCCACCATGCATTGATATGCTATCACCGCTACAATCCAACCTACACTGCTTCAAATTCCACTCCCTCAAATCCCTATAGCCAACATTCTACTTTTCCTAATCCTAATCCTCAACCACCATACCCTAATACCTTTCCACAAAGATCTAATTATCCTCAGACACAGTTTCCTAAGGATAACAATGTCTATTTTGAACTTTATCCTTATGATTGCTTTGTGAAATCTCAGGGTTCTAAGCAAATCCTCTTACATGGAATTCTGGGAGAAGATGGTCTCTATAGATTCAAATCCTTTCCTGTTGTTGGTTCACATCAAAGTCCTACATCTACTAGCCAATCTTCTATGTTCTCTTCATACTGTTCCAAGTCTAATAATTTGTTATCTACTTGTAATAATGCCAAATCCTGTAGTCCTATTTCAACTTGTAATCTTTGGCACCTTAGGCTTGGTCATCCTCACTTTGAGACTCTGAAACTTGTTCTTCAGCAATGTAATGTTTCAAACATCAATAAAAAAGAGATTGACTTTTGTTTTGCTTGTTACATGGGTAAGGCACATAAGTTACCTTCCTATTCTTCCACCACTGAATATAACCATCCTTTTGAGTCAGTGTTTACAGACCTATGGGGACCAGACCCCATTTCCTCCTTTGATGGATACTACTACTACATAGCATTCATTGATGCATATACTAAATACACTTGGATCTATTTTCTCAAACGAAAATCAGATGCTCTTACAGCCTTTAATAACTTTTCTCAATATGTTCTGAACAAGTTTTCTACCTCAATAAAGTCCATTCAATCTGATTGGGGTGGTGAATTTAGGTCTTTCACTAAACTCCTCACTGAAAAAGGCATTATACACAGAGTTATTTGTCCTCATACACACCATCAAAATGGTGTTGTAGAAAGAAAACATCGTACCATTGTTGAAAAGGGCCTTTCTCTTCTGTCCCACTCCTCCTTGCCTCTTAAATTCTGGGATGCAGCTTTTGCTACATCTGTTCATCTGATAAATAGAACACCATCCAAGTCAATATCTAAATCCAGTCCATACTTCAAACTGCATAAATCTGTTCCAGATTATACCTTTCTCAAGGTTTTTGGTTATGCCTGCTACCCTACCAGACCCTATCATAAACACAAACTGGACTTTCACATTGAAGAGTGTGTTTTCATGGGCTATTCACCAAGTCACAAAGGCTATAAATGCTTATCATCCTCAGGGAAAATTTACATCTCCAGAAATGTTATTTTTCAAGAAACCAAATTTCCTTATCCTACTTTGTTCAAACCTACTTCATCTGCCTCTTCTTCTAACCTCCATCTGGATCATCCTTCTGTACCTATTAGTGTTCAGACCTTCATCCACCCTCCCAGCACCCCTGAATCTGAATCCTCAAGTGATGACTCTGTATCTTCTCAAAACCACCCTCCAAACACATCTCATGAACACCATCAATCTCTCTCTAATAATACTCAAAGTCAATCTTCCTCTCATGAATCACAATCCTCATCTCATGAACACCCTCCCAACACATCTCATGAATCACACTCCTCACCTAGCCCTCATTCTTCTTCATCTGATTCTTTTCACCAAACTACTCCACCTCCTTCAGTTCCTATCATAAATAATCTTCCCATGAAGACAAGGGCAAAGTCAGGCATAGTAAAACCAAGACTTCATCCTACCTTACTGTTGGCTCATATTGAGCCTAAATCAGTAAACAGGCTCTCTCTTCTCCACCGTGGCTTGAAGCCATGAAGACTGAATATAATGCTTTGATTGCTAATAAAACCTGGACTCTTGTTTCTCTTCCTCCAGATAAGCATGCTATTGGATGCAAGTGGATTTACAGAGTCAAAGAGAACCCTGATGGTTCTCTAAACAAGTTCAAAGCCAGATTGGTGGCTAAAGGCTTTCATCAAAAGTTTGGTTTTGATTTTGGGGAAACATTTTCTCCAGTTGTGAAGCCTATCACTATCAGAATCTTGCTTACCATTGCTATTTCACACAATTGGTCCATCCAGCAGTTAGATGTTAACAATGCTTTCTTGAATGGTGAACTAGATGAGGAAGTGTACATGGTTCAGCCTCCAGGTTTTGAAGTTCAAGACACATCTCTGGTTTGTAAACTTCACAAATCACTATATGGCTTAAAGCAAGCTCCTAGAGCTTGGTTTCAAAAACTAACCTCAGTTCTTTATGCTGCTGGTTTTAAACAAAGCAAATTTGATCCTTCCCTACTCATCTATCCTCTACAGTCCAAATTTACATTCTTATCTATGTTGATGATATTTTGGACATTGGGAACAATTCAGCAGCCATAACTCAACTCATTCACAAACTACATTCCTCATTTTCTCTAAAACACTTGGGAGAGCTTGATTTCTTTCTTGGAATAGAGGCACACAAGCTTCCAGATGGCAGTCTTCACCTATCACAGGCTAAGTACATCAGAGATGTTCTAAATCAAGCTGGCATGCTTGAATCTAAGGGAGTTATGACACCTATGGTGAACACTTGCAAACTGCAGAAACAAGGCAGTGATTACTACTCTAATCCTTCCCAGTATAGATCCATTGTTGGAATGTTACAGTATGCAACTTTGACTAGGCCAGATATCTGTTATACTGTCAACACAGTGTGCCAATTCATGGCAGAACCACTGCAGGAGCACTGGAATGCAGTGAAACACATTCTCAGATATCTTTCTGGAAGTGTAAATCATGGAATTGTTATCAGACCTATTTCCTTGTCTTCTATACCTCTACCAATATCTACTGTGATGTTGACTGGGCATCTGATCCCAATGACAGAAAGTCTACATCTGGCTCATGCATACTTCTTGGAACCAACATTATTTCCTGGTGGTCAAGAAAACAACTTAGGGTTGCAAGATCCTCAACAGAAGCAGAGTATAGGAAACACCAACATTATTTCCTTGTGGAACCAACATTATTTCCTGGCAGACACCACTGCAGAACTCTTATGGATTCAATTTCTATTAAAAGAACTTCAAGTCCCCTTTTCTACTCCCAGAGTATACTGTGACAACCTCAGTGCTGTTCAACTGGCTCACAATCCTGTTTTGCATTCCAGGATCAAGCACATGAAATTGATCTTTTCTTTGTCAAAGAAAAGTTCTGCTCAAGCAACTTCAAGTTTATCATATGCCCTCTCTTCATCAGATTGCAGACATACTGACCAAGCCACTCTCCAGTTCCAGATTTCTTGATTTGAAAGCAAAACTTAGTGTGATTGAGTTGTCAAACCAATCACCCTAACTTTGAGGGGGGAATGTTAGATACACATCATGTAATAGACTAGAAGAATCATCTTAAAACTGTATACTAGATGGGGGCCCAGTTGTTATGAAGTTAGTTAGATTTATAACCAATTGTATAAATACTTGTACTCGGTTCATTGTTGAGATTAATCTGAAATAGTATTATCTCTTATCTTCTTCTTCTTCTATTATTAGCTAATAACTACCTCCAGTTAAGCTGGAGAACTATAAATAGAAATAAAGGTGGGAAAGGAAAGTAGGATGTTAGACTCTTGGCTTGGGACTGGGGAGAAATAGAGATTAGTTGTCTCGTATCTGGGAGCTCTTTATACACTTTCCACCATTAATGAAAGCTTGAGATTGTTTTCTTCAATTCAATTTCTTCTTTTCTGTAAACCATACAAATCTGCGAGTACTCTATCATTTAATAAATAAAAGTTAATAAAAAAAACTAATCATATTTCATTTTTCATGGCAAAATCAAACATCAGAAACTAGCTTCTGTATCATTTTAATTCAATATCCTGACATTTTCCAGGATCCAAGCACACCAGTATGTGAAGATTGTGAGTTGTACCTGAACCAACATCTAAGGCACGCATGCCTGGTTGCAACCTATCCTTCAACAATTCGAGACACAATGCATGCATGTGAGGTGCTGAGATAGTGACATTATAGCCTATACTCATTGGGCTATCAAAGTAAGGTGGTGTATCCTTGGGCACAAACAAAGCCCTATCAATACTTTGCATTACTTTTGCTACGCCCTCTGATTTGATTACACCAATACTCTTCAACCGATTAATCATTCCCCTGTTTCCACTCAAGGTGCTTTCAGTACTATACAATCGCTGCGGATAAAAAACATTAATTCAATATTACATGATAGACATCCAACTCAGCCACCTATTAAATATTATAATAAAGTATACACAAGGAGGAAGGGGAGGGTAGCTATTAATTAGCCAATTATTTAGTTATGTTATTTTGTCCCTGCGTGGACACGTGACTATAAATAGTAACCTAGTTTCTATTTCTGAGTAGGCTGTATTTTCTGTTGGTAAGGATTTGGAGACTGGGCATCTCGAATAAGCCCCTGAGCACTGTATCCCCGTGATCTGTTCAGTTGGAGGAATAAAGCCATTCGATCTATTCCTTCCATTCCTTCCATTTCTCTGTGCTTCTTTTATTGTTTGCTTTGCAGATTCCAGTGATCTATCATTGGTATCAGAGCATCGGACCTGGGGAATCGAAGTTGACGGGCGACGTCAACTGAGTCTCGTATTCAGTAGTGGATGGTAAAAACGCGATCGAAAATGGAGCATCGCATGGAGGCTTTTGAGCAGGAGATGAGAGCCACCATTGCTAACCTCACTTCTGCGATGAACGAACAAATCCAGAATAGCATCGCAGCATCTATGGCAGCTCACCAGAACAGGAGCGATCATACCAGGGGTAGATCGCGATCCCCACATCATCATCGCTCGCGACAACCGCACAACACGTCCCATTCGAGAGGTAACTGATACGTTCGTAATTTCCATATCTATGTTTATGTTTTTAATTAGTTTTGCTTGACTTTTACTTTGGAAATTACACACTTTTGGTGTAATAGATTAGATTGTCAAATTCTTGTAAATAGGTTAGATTAGATATATTCTGAGCTTAAGCAGGTTTTGGTCACTCAAAGTACAGTTGGTGAACCCAAAAAGTGAAGAGAAGGTGCAAAAGTTCAAAGACAAAAGAAGATCCTGAATTTTGTCTATACTCGGTCGAGTATTAGCTATACTCGATCGGGTATTAGGTTGGAACTTCAAATCGGATCAGATCCGAAGAAAAGGGAACATGCAGGGAAGATTTTGGCAACGATTTTATGTCTATACCCGATCGGGTAGACCGACATACCCGATCGGGTATGCCTTTGAATTGCAAACGAAGATCGGTCGAGTATAGCCCGAATACCACTTTCTAAGCATACTCGATCGGGTATACACTTAGAAAATAGCCTGAAACCGGTCGAGTATGCCTCGGATCGAGTGTTACACACGTACTCGATCGGGTACCATGTATATACCCGATCGAGTACCCGAATCCCATCCCAAAAACCTATAAATACACCTCCTTTCCTTCACAAAAAGATATCCAATCCCTTTGTACATCTAAGCTCAGTATAGAATAGCTCTTTCTTTATATTTTTCATCATGTTTAGTCTCCAAATGAGGAGCTAAACTCTTCCATCTTGGTTTTGCTACTTTGAAGCTTAATGAATTTGTAAGTTGTGAGTTATTTTTCTTTAATCTTCTTCCTTGAATATTAATTCTTTCTTTCAAAATACTATCTCTATATCAAAGTTGGGGAGTGTTACTAAGATGACAATTAGTTAACATCTTGACATTGGTTATAGTAATAGCTATTTCTTCCTCTATGATAATATTGGGGAGTGTTACTAAGATGACAATTAGTTAACATCTTGATATTAATCATAGTAGGATTCTTATATTTTAATATTCTTCCTTGAGTATTAATTAATTCCTATTCATATTTCACGTTAATATCTTAAACATTACTTAAAGTATCAACTAGTATTGTTTCTCATATTAATTATTACTAGAATCAATCGGTTAATACGCTTGTTATTAATCCGGTTCTTTCAACGGTAGTAAACTTGGAATATTAATGCATGCATCTCATGGTTAATATGCCAAGGGGAATTAATTATATTGATTAAACCAATAAACCGCTTGTGTTGAGGTTATCAATCTCAATCGTTTTCATCTTAAGTTTATTGCTACTATCAAGTTAATATACGGCGCTTGTTCTATATTGACTCGATAGTAAGTTTTATTAATGAACGCATCTCGTTATTAATAACTACCCTCGATGAACTGGATATACTCCTCGATTGAGTATTCGAGAGGAAGATAGTTAAAGATATAATCGGGATCGACGAACATTTCATTAAGTGGATAAAAGCAAAACCAAGTCCCCATCTCATTGAATTAAACTCATATAGGTTGTTTATCTTAGTGTTGTTAAAACAAACAAATCTAAACCCCCCTTGTTATTATTTATATAAAAGAAAAGTATTCCTTTCCCTGTGGATACGAACCTTACTACACTATACTACGTATTAGTGTTGTATTGATTATTTATTTTGAGTGCACCTAACGACGAGTGCACGTCAGTAACTCTGTACACTCACTAGTTCCTGCTCGTCGTGTTTGTACAGGAAGAAAGGTGGATCTACCTTTGTTTAATGGGGAGGGTGCCTATAATTGGATCGTAAGGATGGAACGTTATTACAGACTGAACGGGATTGAAGAGAAGGATAAGGTAGAAATATCGGTTGTGGCCATGGAAGACAGAACTTTGAATTGGTTCCAATGGTGGGAGCATCACACTGAGGAAAGAACTTGGGAGAATTTGAAGGATGTTGTGATTCGTAGGTTTCAACCGGAATTGATACAAAATCCGTATGGCCTTATGCTCAGTTTGAAACAAACTGGGACAGTGAAAGAGTATAGGGAGGAGTTTGAGATGGTTATAGCTCCTCAGAAGGATATTGACAGGGGTATGCTGCGAGGCATTTTTATCAATGGTCTGAAGGATGAAGTTAAAACGGAACTCAAACTTTATAACTCCCGATCCCTATCTGCTATCATGGATAGGGCTTTACTGATTGAGCAGAGGAATGAAGTTGTGTACGGGAGGAGTAAAACTACAGATAGAAATGAAGTGAGGAACAAGGGGCCTATGCAATACAGATCCCCAGCTTGGGGTGAGGGATATAAAACCAAGTCTGGGAGTTCAGGGCCCAGACTGGAGACAAGAATACTGGAGATGCTAAAGAAAATCCATCCTGGGTCAACCACATGGGAACGAAGGTGACTGAAATAAATCCTTCAGGGATAAGAAGAGTATCACCTCAACTGTCTCAGGATCAATACCAAGAGGAGCAGAAGAGGACTGTGTTTTAAATGTGGGGAGAAATGGAGCAGAGAACACACCTACAAAATGAAAAATTATAAATTAATTCTGGTGGAAGAATCTGAAGAGGAAGAGGAATTGGAGGTGCTGGAACCTGAAGCTGTAGAAGAGGAAATGGTTCACATGGAGTCTAAATCCATGCAGTTATCTGTGATGAGTAAGGAAGGAATTCCCTCACTGAGGGCTTTCAAGGTGCAGGGCATACTAAAGGGGGCCCCGGGGGGAAACAGGTGGAAGTGCTGATTGACAGTGGGGCCACCCACAACTTCATATCACAAAAACTAGTGGATCAATGAGGAATACCTTATCAAACTATTCCCGGTTACAAGGTGCAGATAGGGAAAGGGGATAAGGTAACCGATAATGGCAGATGTGAGGGTTTGGTTCTCATAGTACAAGGCACTATTATCCAGCAGACTTTCTATATACTAGAACTTGGGGGAACTGACTTAGTCCTTGGAATGGAATGGTTAACCACATTGGGGGATGTAGAAGTGAACTTTCAAAAGCAGAGAATACAGTGGCAACAGTTGGGGACAAATCAGATCATACAAGAGAACCCCAGCTAAATTCTATTGAAATCTCCTTGCAAACCATGGCCCACATCATACAGGATTCTGGGGATGGATATCTTATATTTTGTGAACACAGGTTAGAAGAAAGAGAGAAGGAGCTGAAAAGAGATCCCATTTGGGAAGAGATAGTGGCAGAATTTCCAGAAGTAACAACTCCCACGCAAGGGCTACCCCCTCATAGGACATGTGACCATGCTATTAACATCAAGGAAGGGGTAGAAATACCTAACATAAGGCCATACAGATATCCACAGTATCAAAAGAATGAAATAGAGAAGATCATCAAGGAAATGCTGCAAGCAGGAATTATTCAACCCAGCAATAGCCCATATAGCAGCCCAATTTTGTTAGCCAAGAAGAAGGACGGGGGCTGGAGGTTTTGTGGGAATTACAGGGCACTGAATCAGATCACAGTCTCTGATAAATATCCCATACCAATCATTGAGGAGTTGCTGGATGAGCTGGGTGGAGCTACAATCTTTACCAAGTTGGACCTCAAATCTGGGTACCATCAACTTCGAATGAAGGAGGCAGACATCCACAAAACAGCATTTAGAACCCATGATGGTCATTATGAGTATCTCATAATGCCATTCGGGTTAACTAATGCCCCCTCAACTTTTCAATCTCTCATGAACCAGGTTTTGAGGCCATTTTTGCGAAAATTTGCTCTGGTTTTTTTTTATGACATACTTGTATATAGCCAGAACAGGGAAGAACATCAAGAGCACTTAAGGAGGGTCCTAAGAGCATTGAAGGAGAATCAGCTAGTTGTGAACCTAAAGAAGTGTTCGTTTGGACAGTCTCAGCTAGTCTATTTGGGGCATATAATTTCTGGAGAAGGAGTGTCAGCTGACCCGTCCAAGATTGAGGCAATGGTGAGTTGGCTAGAACCTAGAGATTTAAAGGGCTTGAGAGGTTTTCTGGGGCTCACTAGGTACTACCGGAGATTTGTCAAAGGGTATGGTAGACTGGCTCTGCCTCTCACACAACTGTTTAAGAAGGACAGCTTCAAGTGGGACACTCCAGCAACTATTGCTTTTGGGGAATTAAAGAAAGTTATGACTTCGTTACCAGTCCTAGCAGTACCTGATTTTAACAAACTTTTCATACTGGAGACTGATGCCTCATGAACAGGTCTAGGGGCAGTTCTGATGCAAGAAGGAAGACCCATTGCATACATGAGCAAAGAACTATCCAAAAGAAATCAGGGCAGGCCTGTGTATGAGAGAGAGTTAATGGCCATAGTGTTAGCTGTGCAGAAATGGAGGCCCTATCTTTTAGGAAGAACTTTTGAGATCCATACAGACCAGAAGAGTCTGAACTTTTTGGCTGAACAAAGATTGCTGGGGAAGAACAGCAGAAGTGGACCTCTAAACTACTTGGCTACAACTTCATAATCAAATACAAACCTGGGGTAGAAAATAGAGCAGCAGATGCCTTATCCAGGAGGCCTACCTTACACTCTTTATCCATTGTCACCTGTCAAGAGTGGGAAGGCCTGGAGGAGGAGTTACAGTCAGACCCGAAATGCAAGGAGCTGATTCAAGGGCTAATAACACAACCTGATAATTATCCTGATTTTCAGATGATAAAAGGGTTGTTATATCACAAGGGAAAGCTAGTTCTGCCCAAACAGTCTCCTAAAGTACTTAAAGTTTTGAAGGAGTATCATGATTCTTCTGTAGGAGGACATTCAGGGTATTTTCGTACTATGAAGAGGATAACCAATCTTTTCTACTGGCTGGGTATGAAATCTGACATTAAGAAATATGTGGAAGGATGTGCAGTCTGCCAAACTAACAAGTATCAGGCCCTCAAACCAGCCGGATTCATGGTAGTCGATGGCGCAATATGGCGCGCGCGGCATGCGCCATGTGGCGCGAAAACCCATCTGCGCTATGAAAAGGGGCTGTGGCGAGGTGTATACACATGGCGTCGCCATTCCTGCGCCTTCGCCATTCCTGCGCCTTCGCCATGGCGATGCGAATATTTTTTTGACAAAATGGGTCCGCGTTTTTGAGCTGTAAGTTGTGGACTTTTGGGCCATAACAATCTGCGACCCATAACAGCAATAAAACTCTAACAAAAACTTACTATTTTAGCCCATAATACTAACAACAACCCTAACTACAAATAAATAAACACAACAAAGTGATAATACGTGAGAAGTCAAAGCTGCTGCAACGCAAGAAAAGCTCTGCGACAACCGACAGAAAGGCAAACGACAAAGGGATTCTCGTTGACTTCTTCCAACTACAAAAGGTACTACTACCTCTTTAATGTTGTGTATTAATGAAGAAAAGTTCAGTCAATGCTGTGTACTAAACTTTACTGTGAATGGTCTAAACTTAAATGTGCATGGTTTAACTAAAACAAAGACTTTCTATGGTATATAATTTATGTAAAGTTTAAACTTAAAGATAAAGTGTTTATGAATGTATAACACAAAGTTAATTAAAGTTTAAACTTTATATTTTGAGTTTAAACTAAACTTTACACTGTTAGATGCTTTAATAGTTTGCTTTATGTGTAATTGTCTATCAGTTTATTATAGTTGAGAGTTGAGATTTTAAATACTCATACCGTTGGCAGAGGTAACATTGATCAATTTTATTTTAATTTACTTTAGATGATGCTCATTGATATTTTTTATCTTAATTGTTATTATAAAGGTAACCGAAGAGGCAGAGCAAGATGATGAAATGAATGAGGATGGTGTGCCATTGCTATCAGATTCAGACCAAGATGATGAGGAGTCTGATGATTGATGATGATTATGCCATAATCATCGAACAAAAACAAGCTAACAAGCTTAAATCCTAACATATTTTGCAAGACAGAAACTTTTTTTTTGAATATTATGTTTTTTGGAAGTACTTTGAACTATTTTATCATGTTTTGGTGGTTGGGTAAACTTGGTTTGATGAATTGCAGTATCTATTATTCGTTTTGAAGGTTTTTTTTGTCACGTGGCGACGCCATATTTGCGCCATCGCCATGGAAAATGGCCTGTGCGCCATGGGTTGCGCCATGCGCCATGACAACTATGGCCGGATTGATACAACCCTTGCCCATACCCAAGGTAGTCAAAGTCGAAAAGCGCACCTGAAGCGCTAGGAGTCTTGTAGCGCCTGAGGCGCAAGGCGCAAAAAAGCGCTCGACTGACTTGGGTGAAGTGCATTACTGATATAAAATCACATATACTATTCTATAATTACCAAATATGATGTATGTAACATCATATTGAACAAAATGCATAAAAAACTAGGATTCACAAAAATAAAGTTATGATTCACAAAAATAAAAGTCCAGATTTAGAATTCATGGCTTTAATACCTTTTATAAGAACTTAAAAATATACCTTTAACCCCTAAATTGGAGTGAAGATAGAGAGATGTGGTAGGGAAAATTAGATTGATGTTTTAGATTTAGTAATTTAAATAAAAAAGTGGTCATATATACCCACATTTAGTCAAGTAATAATGTCCTCCGATTATACTTATTTCAATATGTGGCTTATAAATTGCTTCAGTTGTGGAACAATTGTAAATGAAATGGTAAGGTGAGCGATGGTGTTACTAGGCAAATTCGGTTGAAAATTAGGTCACTAAATGGTTGTAATTGTAACTGACCGGTTGTGGTCACCGTGATCTGCGGCGATCACTGGTTGGTGGTGGTCATTGTGACTAGCGGTGGCGTTCACTGTGACTGACAATGATCACTATTGTCGACGGCGTCGATCACTGTGGTCTGCGGTGGTCTCTGGGCCTCTGGGGCTAGCCAGGACACTGAGGCTGGTCAGGTCACTGGGACGTGTCAGGCTAAGTAACTGAGGTGGGTCGGGTCCCTGTCAGATATGAAGGTAATTTAGTAAGTTTAATGCTTATTAGTCGCACCTTTTGAAATTAAAAACATCTCTTTTTTATGCATTATCCACTTTTTAGTAATACTATATTCTCACCTGTGCGATCCACGAATACAAAATTACCTTAAAATTACTATTTTGAGTTCAATTGAAGTAGTGTATGTATATAACTATCTTGCATAAACTGGTATGAAAGTAGATGTGTGGATATATTTCAAGTATAGAATTTATAAGTTTCACAAAAGCATAGTAGTATTAGTTAAAATGGTGAGCAAAGTTTACAATGGAGATAGTGTGACTTTAGGGTAAACCAATATCACCTCCCGGTATGCCAGGCTTTCAGTTTAATGCGTTGAAAAGGCATGAAGTAAAAGAAAAATGAGTTCTGCACACCATTCGTTTTTATACACCACTTGCGAAAACATTCACAGTATTTTTTTCACCTGACAAGATATGGTTCTGTCTGTGGAACAAAACAAAACTTGTGACGGCGAAGTTGATGTAAATGAAGAAATTTTCTATTATCGCGCTCAACAGATCCCAATAAAATTAGGGTAGTGCGTAGGTGTTGATAGAGAATAGAAGAACGCACCTCCATGGCAGAGAAGAGAGAGTTCTCCGTGAAGAGGCTGGGCGGCGGGAGGCGGTAGGACGATGGGACGAGAGTGAAAGCAGGAAGACTGGGACGGGGGAGGAGGTAGCTGGTGAAGAAGGGTAAAAGATGTCGACGAGCGAACGTCACTGCTGAGCAGGAGTGAGGCAGCATCTCTCTTCCTATGTATTCAAATTGAGTGGTTTTTTTTTAATCGATGGACTTTTAAAAAATTCAATTTATTTTTAAATGCATAGACTTTTTTATGAATGAATTCTATGGATTTTAAATTCATGGATAAGTTTATTGACTTTTAAAAAATTCATAGACTTTTAAATGCGAACTACCACTACTGGTCGTCGAAATTTTCATCTAGACCGTCACTACCGATCTGCCCGTCCGCCTCTGTCACTTGAGTTCCCCGTTGTCGTCATCGGACTGATTCGCCACCAACAAAGTCGATTTGGTTATGCAAGGGAATTATGGACAATTAATTTATTAATTAATTGAATTAGGGGTGAATATGTAATATTTAGTCCTATTTAAGGAAAATCAAACATATGATCATACTTTAAGAAGAATGCTACTCCGAATGTTTTAATCCTACCCTGAATAATTTCATCTTTATAATACATAGTATGATAAGAAACAAATAAACAAACAAACAAATAAATAAATGAATGAATGAATGAATAAATAAATAAATAAATAAATAAATAAATAAATAAATAAAAAATGTAATTCATATAGCAACACAAAGTTCTACAAGAATAAATGAAGTATAAGAATCCAAATTTATTTTTATTAAAAAAACTCAAAGTTTCAAGAATGATCAAGAATTTGGTCATTTTATTAAGGAGTAAGAACATTAATCGTTACACAACCGTTACATTCATTGCTACATGTGGTACAAGCACAGTTGCAATCAAGTTTATCTTCTTAATAATTGTTTTCTTTTCATTTTTATCTTGTAAAATTTTGTGTACTTATTTATGGTTATATATTTATTAATTTGAAATTATATTTTTATGTGTCAGCGATTTAACGATGAAAGAAAGTAATAGTTAAAATATTTATTTTCTTAATGGTTAAGTGACGACGTACCAGAATTGCACTGATGTAATATTATCGATTCTTATACCAATTCTTCTAGAAACTTCTAGAATCGAACCAGTATGGGGTTAACGAATCGAGGGGGTGGGGCAAGCTAAAGAAGAAAAAGAATGGAAGGAGAGAGGTGGAGCGAGCTAGGTTGAAGAAGAAGAATGATCGAAGGGGAAGGGGTGACTTGACTAAAGAAGAGGAGAGTTGGCGGGGTGGGGTGGGGGAAGGGATGAAGAACCGATATAAGAAAAGACCACGGAAATCTTTAGTGATGAGAAGAGACAATTGAAGAGAATTAATGTACTAAAAATGAGTTAAAAGTCCACGAGAATCCATGATTTTAGAAATCTATAAGAATGAACGGAACTTTGAATATGCCTAGACTTTTATAGACTTTTAAAAGTCTACATTGAATACACCTAGATTTTTGTAGACTTTTAGAAGTCCACATTGAATACACCTAAACTTTTAAAATCCATGGACTTTTAAAAATTTGTCACTAATTCCTAATACAATACACCCCCTTCGTCTTTCTGCCCTCTTAAGTCGGCATGGAAACGGGAAACCGTAAAACGTGAAAGGCAAATGGGAAAAGCTAAAAATGTGATTTGGACTAAACGTGTGGGGAAATGCGTAAATATTAAAAATTTAAAAATATAAGAATATATTTGTAAATATTTTTCACATATGCACACATATATTTTCATTCATACATATATCAGGGCCGGTCCTAGGGGGTGCAACAGGGGCGACCACCCTACGCCCAAGAAAATAGCAAAAAAAAATAGGCCCAAAAATATTTCTTTATATGTAGTGTGAGTAGACTTCTTCTTTTTTAATTTTTAAACTCAATTAATTAGGCCCAAGGTTTAATTTTTAAAACAAGAGTAAAGAGACACGTTTGTCTTAATTGTCTTCACATCTTTATGCTTTATAATCCTTTTAATTACAATATTACCAAGTTATGTTAAGTCTCCCAATTCCAAAACTCCCTTGGCAAAACCCATCCAAATTGATTTGTTGTTTCCAAATTCCAAAACCAACAAGACTAAAGAACGCTACAAAGCGGTGAGTGTCTCAGTGGTTTATTAAGAAGCCAATCAGTCGAGGGGGCCAAATGGTGACCGGTGATAAAAAATCTTCTTCTTTCAAGGCTTCAAACAATCCAATAATGACTGATAAACCATTCTTGATAAAATGGGTGAATCAAGTTGGGATAAAGAGAGAAAGAGGAGAAGATTAGAAAAGGTAGGCTTAAGTTAGAAGGGGTCAATGGAAAGATTTGTTCTTATTAAGAAATTGAATTTTGGAAATTCCGCGAGAAACGTTTTTAAGTAATGTTTTTCAAAGTTGAAGATTGATGAATTATCTGCGATCGACTATATCTCAAGAAAGACTTAATAGGTTAGAAAAGGTGATTATGAAGCAATATGGATGATTTTGCTTCACATTGTTCTGCGAGAAAGATTTTTAAGTAATGTTTTTCTTTTATGTGATACTTGTGTTTTACTTTTCACCAAATATACATTTTAAATGATAATAATAAAATGAGATTTTTTTTATTTTATGACCTTTAGTAGATAATTCTATTATAATTACTATTTTAAATTAGTATAGTTTATTGTTTGTCTTGAATATAAGCCCAAAATTTTATCTCGCCCATAGGCCCGAAAATAGACAGGACCGGCCCCTCTTTAACAAGACACTATTTTCCTGAAAGCTGACTTTAGGGTAAACCAATGGCGTGAAAATTTTAACTGAAAATAACACAAAACTCACCATTTCTTTAAAAGACATTATTTTCCATCATAGGGCCCCTCTTAAAAAAGAAAAAATTGAAAATTCAGGGTTTCCAAAACGCTAATTATTTAGGGAAACGGGTTTCTCAATTCTTCATAATTGTGGAAACGGTCCTAAAATGGGAATTTGAAGTTTCCAAGTTTCTGACACGCTTCCGAGTTTCTGAAATGGGGAAACGTGAGTTGCTGAGAGTTTTCGTGCTTCATAGGTCTTAACTTTATCCTTTGTTTGGATAAGGCTCAAAGCCCAAATGTGATCCTTTCATCCCAAATGTCAAATGTGTGAGTTGGGCATCCATAGCCTGTCACCGTGTAGGAGGGAAAGAAAGAAATGCCAGGGAAGGTCTTTGACGAGGGACGGTCCCACCCAAATCTGGGCTTATGAGGGATACATTGGCCATGTTTGGTAAATGGTTCATCAGTCAGAAGTTAGCTTGTTTGATTAACTTTAGCCGGTTGAAATGGTCAAACGGCTAAAAATCATGTTTGGTAAACAACTACTTTTGTATAGCTTCTCCAACCAATCCGTTGTTTTTTGAATCGTTAAATCCCCCTCTAAACCTTCATCTCCACCCCAACAGAAAACCCTCTCTCACCAAACCAGAAAACTCCAACCTCTACCAGAACTCCATCTCCCCAGAAACCAAAATCCAGATCCTCATCACCTTGCAAACAACCCTCAAACACCAGAAATCGATCACCTTCACCCCCACCATCTCCTTCACATCAACCTATTCCTCAATCGATTTCTTCCAACTACCAGAGCTCCCCTCACCAGAAGATCCCATCTCCCCTGAGTCCACCCCATCAGAAATCCAAATCACCCTCCAGAACTGCCTCACTACAGAGATCAACCCACCATTCTGTAGCTTCTACACTCAAGAGGGAACCAATCTTCAGAGTCCTCTCTTCAGAAAGTGACAATGATGGATTCCTCACCTCCTCCATTGCGGCTGATAAAACATCTAAAAGGAGAAGGATACTTCCAAGAGTTCCTTCCCCTACACCATCCACCAGAGTTCCTCCATTTCCCAAGAGTAGAGGATTGGAGATGCCAGGATTTACACCTGAAGAACCCCAGATTCCTTTCAACCAGTTTGTGAAATCTGCAGAAGAATTTGGTGGTCTGTTAGTTCATGATCTGAGCAAGATCATTGAGCTGAACGACAGGCATCATGAAGAGCTAACCCATACCAACCTTCAACTCACAATCGGATTCCAGTATATGACAGACAAGGTTGTTGCACTGTCAGAAATTATGCACAACTTCATGCATTCATCTACATTGAGAATAGACTCTGTCTCCAGAGATGTCAGTGGCATCAACTCTGTTCTCCACTCTCACTCTCAAGCTCTACTTGCCCAGCACCAGACAGTCAAGCAGATCTCAGACTCTGTTAATACTCTTCAAAAATCTGCTGATAGTTCATCCCAGAAGCTCACAGTCTTACACTCCCTCTGCAAGGAGCATCAAGAGCAAGGCCTAGCTCTCATCAAGTCTGATAAGGAACGATACCAGAAGATGGTTCTTCTAGAAGTCAGCACTAAGGATCTCCAATCTACAGTCGACAAGCAACAGAGCCCTGATTGAGGCTAGATCCCTCTGATTCTGATAATCAGCCCAATGGGGTGCAAGTTTGCAGTCCAAGTAGTTTCTGACAGCTTCTGCAGAATTCTTGCCATTGAGGATCTTCATACCATACCACATCTCAGCTTCTTGGATTGAACCACCATGGTTGATCTGGACAAGTCCATCACTGTCCATGAACAGATTCTCTCTTTGAAGAGGAGTCATCAGTTTCCTCATTTGTTCAAATTGGACTCTGTCTGGCCTTGACATACCACTCTTCATCCAATCATTGAGTGAAAAGGATGAAGTCTTTTTCTTTGAGCTTCTTGGAGGAGGAGGTGGAGGTCTGGAGCCTGCAGCAGCTAGCCTTTTCTTCCTGGATGCATCGAAATATGGAGTAGGATCAACAGAGGAAGGTTCTCTAATAGAAAGGGCTCTGGTGCTGGGTCCTTCTTCTTCTCTGGTATCTTCCCCCTTTTTGGCATCACAAAGATCACCAAGGAGAAGTTCAATCTTTGAGAACTCAGAGGCTTGTGGATCTCTGATTTCATCAAGGGTCTCTGGCAGAGTTTGGGTGACAGAGGCAAGTCCTTCAATCAGACTCTGTTGCTTGTCTACTGCAGTTCTCAAAGATTGAGCTCCTCCTTGGCGATCAAAGATGCCCAAGCCTCTGAGTTCTCAAAGATTGAGCTCCTCCTTGGCGATCTTGTTGATGCCAAAAAGGGGGAAGATACCAAAGAAGAGGAAGG